ATGCATGCCTGCTTGTCCGTCTGTCTGTATGTTTGTTTGCTTGTTTGTTTGTTTTGTTTCGTTTTGTTTTTGTATGTATGTATGTAAGTATGTATGTATGTATGTATGTATGTGTGTGTGTGCGTCACACTCTGTCCCTAAGAGTTTGTTCCTTTCATCTTGCAAGCAGGGGGACTGGAGCCGATTTGCCTATCCAGTCCAACGAAGCTATGGCATTTCGGTGGATGAGTGGTCTGATCAACCACTTGTACCTGCAACCTTGGAACTTTTGCCCACGCTGTGACTCCACTTTTCCTCTGCTTGATTTCATGGTCCTTGCATGATAGATCCCTAAACCTCTTTTTCCACCGCTGATGAGCAGCCGCTTCGACGCTGGGCGCTTCGCAGTCCAAGTGAAACAGCCAATGTTCAAACATTCTGTTCCTCGCGCACTGTGCCACCTTTCCGTTCCTTCACTCTTTTCCTCGGGGAATTGATGTAACTGCAAGCCCATTGTCTAAGTGTGTGCCGCTCTGTCGTCCCACTGGGTGCAGAGTGTGATCCCCGTCATTGGGGCGCTGAGACCATTCCGGATTGCCGTGTATATAACTGAATTTACGTTTTCTGCAGGTTTATGGTTCTGGAATCACACGTCTCACCCATGAATTTCCAGATTCGCATGCTGCCGAGCCACGGGGATTCCACACCGCCGGGCGCACGGAAACTCGTTCCACAGCTTTTCAAGTTTCAAGAGACATCCATTTTAGCTTTCTCAACCTTCCAGGGCAGTACCTTTCAGGTTCCGTTTTTCTATGCTATTTTTTCAACTTCAGTTTTCTCGTACGTGAGAATTTTCTCCACTCCAACTGGATTTCATTCGCCACATTCTGATGGGCTCAATGCTTTCCATCGCGAGCGATTTGTTTGACTCTCTTGCAGCCGCCCCAGCGCCGCGGCCGCCATACCTGCAGCTGCCGACAACAGCGCGTAGATCTTTTGAACAGCACGCACTTTCCATGGCCATACCCTCATACGCCGTGACCTCCACCTCGCCATCCACCTCAGGCAATGCCTGTTCCACATCCATTTCCACATCAACTACCACCGCAACCTACACCGTGCCACCCTGTTCCCATGATGCCACATCCCCCATGGCCTTCGCACCCTACCTTCCTTTTCCGATCACAGCTATCCTACAGCAATGCCACCTCAAGATTTCTGTCATCCTCAACCTCATCCTGTTCCTCAACCACCTATCACACAACCGACCGCCGCCGCTCCACCGGCGCGGACCCCACCCATCCCATCAGCCAAGCACAGACCACCAAAGATTCCACCACTGCTACATCGGACAACCCCATCCCAAATCAACCAGCCTCCACTGATCCGACCCAGAGCAAGACCACTCAGCCATCTACCTCTCAGCAGACCACCTCCGCTCCCAACACTACAGACACCAAAACACCACCTCCACCACCGCCCCCTCCACCGATCGCCCCCGACCATGCCACTCCACCTGCTACCACCAAGGAGGTCGCACCTCCGGCACTCCAGCAACCTCACCGCAGGCGACGCCGTCACCTGGATTATGGGCGCCGCCGCCACCGCTGACATCATCACAGAGGTCGCTCAGACAAGCAGCATCAGCATGGCTCTCGCCACTCACACACCAACCCAGCCTCGCACTGAGATCCGTCCACATCGTACTCCTATTCTTCTTCCTCCCGCAGCCGCTCTCGCTCTAACAGGCAACCCATCACATTGCGCTCCAACAACTTACAGACCGAGACCATGCCACAGCTGCAACTACAACCTACCACAACCATCCAAGCGTACGGCGGGTCCTCAACACTTGGAAGGAACCACCCCACTTCACCAGCAAGCCAGCTCACGACCAACTTGAAATTTGGGTTGATTACCACGCAGAACAATTCGGCGCACCCAACACTCCACAACACGCTTACGTCGCCCGCCTGCTCATAGCGGCCTCAGCTACACCGACGTTTGCGATTACAAACGATTCACCCAAATCAAATGGAACAAAGACACCAACCGCTATGACCTTTTCCACTTCAATCACATTGCCATCCCCTCACTTGCCTCAAAAGCCCATCAATGCTTTCTACCTCAACCTACCCGCGCCCCTGCATTATCGCAGGCCATGCTGGCCCGGTCGGCAACATCACCAGCATCCTTCAACAAGGCCGTTTCCTCCCTAGCACTCTTCACTTTCTTTCAACACAACGAAGGATTTTTCGCACAGGGCATTCGAGCTACGCAACAACTTCCCCACAACCACGAAGAGAATGCTCGCATTATCTTCAACACCTGGAACCTTGCCAAGAACACCCACTCAATCATTGTCACCCTTCTTGCCTGGGCACCGGCGAGAAGATCACTCAGGGAGGCGAAAGAGCCGTCTTCCACCAAAACGGCCGCTGCTGGGCGATCAACCCACACAACGCCATTGTCCGTGGCCTCGCCTGGTCCGCGGACGCCATTCCACCTGACCTATAACAACATACCTACACTCCCCACAAGGACCTACAGCCAACAACCTCACCTGTACAACCGTCTCAACACACCTGTCTCACTTCTCCCGCACATACCGGATTCATCCACAAGAAAACCTGTGTGGCCGCTGCTGACCTTCCGCATGTTCGCGCTTGGTAGAGTCTACGACATTCAAGCCTGACCGACTAGACCATGTGCCATGTCCAATGATTTCAAGGATGTTGCGGGGCCGCGTTTGTTCTTCTGTGTTGCGCTTGTTTTCGACGTTGATATCCTCGCCTGACATGGCTCGATTTAATTCACTGCTTCGTAATTCATATTGCGTGCCATTTTCCACCGCTCGTAGTGCTTCATGCGACCCTCCGTGCTGCAGCAGCTGCTGGCGCCTGACTACATTGCGACCCATGTCCACTCACACTGATGTGACCACCATCATTCAACGAACGACCGTCGCTTTGACACAACTCCACCAACTCCTCCAGACAGCTGCAGACATCCTTGGAGAGGAGCCATTCCAGTCGGGGTGCGGAGAAGGAGCTGCGTTGGCCAGTGAGGTGGAAGAGGGAGTCGGTGAAGGTGGTGATGAGGCTTGTTGGAGGTCTTGGAGGTGTTGGAGTTCTTGGAGTTCCGCCCATCGGGCTTTGCATTGCTCGATGGAAAATCCCACACATCGGGCGACATAGGTCCAGTTGGGTCCGAGCTGAGTGTTCGTTTTTAGCTCCACAAGACGACATTCAGCATCTGCATCCCAGTCATCCCAGTTGGTGTCATCGGGTAGAGGCGGTGGTGGTGCTTTGCATTTGGGCACCTTGCGACGCCGTGGCTGTGGTGTGGGCAAAGGCGTAGGTATTTGTTGGGAGGAAGGAGAATGCTTCGCTGGTGGAGGGGGACGAGAAGAACGTGGAGGAGGTGTATCGCAGGAAGAAGTAGGTGAGGGAACCGGGAGTGAATGCGCGGGCGGCGCTGGGAGGGGTTGAGGGAAAGAAGGGAGAGGCGGGAAAGGTTGGTCAATGTGTGGGTCCACTACACCTCCACCGCCCACCCCATCACCACCAGCACACTCCACCTCGCACCTGATTACTCTCTCTACCCTCCTCGCTGCAGCCGCAACGCCATCACCTGCAGCTGCGCCGCCAGCTGCTGCCCCGAGTACTAGTGAAGCGATGATCGGAGCATATTTCGTGTGAAGTAGCACTACTGCATTTCGCAACTCAGATAGCGCCACACCCGCAGGCTGCTCATTTCATCGCAGCTCTTTCGACGTGCCCAAGGAAAACTTTAATTTTCTCACAGTTTGGCGCTTCGGACCTCATTTGACGCTTTCTTTCTCACTCAGTTTTTGTCATGTTCAGGCATATGTACAGGACCGCTACGTCGGGACAGACATACGGTTTTATTTTATCCACTTTGATTAGACAATTTTCACTGCAGCTGTGTCTTGAACTAGTCGAATTTCAATACTCCCTCCGATCATCACCCTGATCCTGATGGCAGCTTCACGAGCTCCCTCCAACCACGACTCCCCCGAGAACGCTCTACTGGCCTGTGAAAGACGATCCCTACCTTGGGCGTCCAGACAAACCCCACTCCTCTTCTCCTTCTACCCCGCGCAACAAACCTACCGACATACTCCCCACCACACCGCCACCCAAACAACCTCCTGTTTCCTTGCGACGCTACCGCAACCTCTCTACAAAGCCTCCCCCACGCCACACTTCTCCACAAGCCACCTCCACTCAACAGAAACCAGAACTGCCACCTTCCCCGCCATCCACCAGCAGCGAAGACCCTGTCATTCTCTACACCAACGCCACCATTCTCAAGAAGGCCAGGCTAGGCAACCGCCTCTGCGCCTCCAGCATCCAACACCGGTGCAGCCTATCAGTCCCGCGCCAGACATATCAGACACATCCGCCTGCCCAATACAGTTGGCTCGAGGTCACCGCCCCACCCTCACCACAACGGTCGCCCTCTCCCTTACAAGTTCTACCACCACTTCCTACTGTACCTCACCCCCAGCACACATGGCAGCTCCACCGCCACCTCACCTCTTCGCACCACCACCAGCCTTTGATCCCAGTCTTCTTCCACCTCCACTGCATCCTGCACCACAGCCCCTCTTCCCCCCGCTGCCTCCGATGCCTCCTGCAACTCTTAGTGATGCCCAAACAACTACGTTGGCGGAAGCCATCATGCGGATCGCACAGAGCGTGGCAGAGGCCACCGTGGCTCACAGACCTTCTGAGTAGCAGCTTTTCACCCAGCTTCACTCTGTAGCTACAGACGAAGACACCTCGCCACACAATATCGGACTTTTGTTTTTCCACCTTCAACCGCAAGACTTCTCAACCATCAAGACGAGCTTTTCACTTACGGATTTATCGTTGTACATATTGCCTGCATTTTCACGGCCTCTCTTATCACTGTCATGATCCGCAGCCATTTCACTGCCTTCACGTGCGCACCACCTCCTTTTGATTTGCCATCGCAAAGAGCGCACCAGTTCACAGCGATGAAGGCATTGCAACCAGCTTTTGGCACTCGGCATACAGCAATCGCCCAGCCCCACTACTTGCGAACCCACGTGCGCCGTGCACTCCAGACAGTGGAGACGATCGGACGCTTTCCCACCAGCACTTTCCTCACTGACCCCACGATCGACCCCAACACACCACCTTTCCATCCGATCCTTCCACCGGGCAGTGGCCTGGCACCTGGCCAGCAACCCATTATCACCAACAACATCCTCTACCGCCTTCCCACGTCACTCCACTGCAACACAACGCCACTCAAACCTCTCCACCTGTCTCACCTCTTCTCCTCCAACCCAAGCAACAGACCTCAAAACCCCTCTCACCTATTTTGCTCCACACCGAGCAACAGACGGAACCATCATTTGGGCCAGCACCCACCGAGTCACCGCAGCCATCGCCACCACGCAGACGGCCCAATCCCACCTTACACCACCGATCACAAACGAGTCACCTGCACAAACTGACATTTTTTCAACGCCACTCTTCCCAGCTTTCTCACGCATTACTCGCGACCGGTCCCCTGGCCAACATCACCTCCGCAGCCAACAAACAACCCAGCTCCTCCAACCACCAATGTACTGACCTCATTCCCGGACCTGTGGTCCCACCCTCCGCCCGCACTGCCTGGGGACTTTACTAGCCCCATCGGCGGAACGCCACGGCGCGGTCGCTCAGACCACGCACAGCTGTACCGCGACAGGGCTCACCTTCCCCCCACAACAATCTCCACCAGCTTTCACTCTTCAACCACCACCAGCCTTCCAGCCACATCAGTCTCTGCCGGTCTTTGGAGCATCGTCGCCAGCACCGCTACCACGGATGGTGGCCGTCGACACCACCCAACAAGGGCCAGGCACCAGCCTACAATGCCCCACCACCGCATCCGTCTGCAGCCCAGATGACATACTACCAACATCAACCACCATGCGGACCACCACCTCACACCATGGCTGTCGCAACACCGATCCCACAACCCTCTCCGCCAGTCCTGCTACAACCACCTCGCTTTCCACAAAACTACGATTCCACAGGTCGTGCTATTCCCCTGCACCAGCAAGCATGCGACCCAGACACGGACCAGCTTTGGACCAAAAAAGCTGTAGCTGTGAAGCCATGGCATTTACTGAGCCAATCCGACGTATAACTTCTGTATGATTATCCACGCGATCTGTCAACGTTGCTCCAAGATACAAAGCTTGTGAATTCCGAGGGACTACAGTAGAGAACAAAATTGATAGAGGACTGGTTGCGATCTATAGTCAAGTTTATACATTTGCCCATGTTCAATTTCATTTTATATTTTCCTGATTCCTGTTGGACAGCCTGAAGAAGTTTGTTAACTGTTTGGGTGTGGGTACCAAAGAGCAAAGTGTCATCTGCGTAGAGGACCTCAGCAAAGTGAATACCTGGGATAGGTTCCAGTTGTTTCGATGTGTTCAAGGTGTGTCGGATATCTGTGAAAATGGTAATGATACTGAAGAGATACGGAGAAAGAGGACACCCCTGCCTAATACCAGAATCTTGCGTCCTGAAGCTCAAATAGATATCCCCTCTGACAACTCTGAATTTCGCTTCTTTGTAAATATTCTGTATAGTGTTTACTATGTTTTGAGGTACTCCTAGCCGTTTGAGCACTTGTATAAGCTTGTATTGGTCAAAAGCCTTTTCCCAATCGAGAAGTACAAGGGTCAGATTTGTACCTTGTCTTTCTGCTAGGTCCATCAATCGTCGCGCCAAAAATAAGGCCTGTGGCGTAAATTTGCGCGGCCTAAAACCATACTGTGTTTTACTAATCCATGGGTCAAGTGCAGCAACCAGGCGCTGTTTAAGTATAGCAGCCAATAACTTAAAAAAGGTCTGCAGTAAAGCAATTGGCCTATAATTATCAAGCTGTGACGGGTCCCCCTTCTTGAAAATAGAAGCAATATTTGCAAGATTGAGTGAATCGAAGTATTTACCGTTCATGAGAATATCATTGTATGATTTGAACAGGGAAATTCGATTTGCGCTGTCAAGATATTTGAGAAGCTCGGCCTGCACCCGATCTGGTCCAGGGGCTTTGTTTGTCTTGGAAGCGGCGATTGCTGCTTCAAGCTCTTCTATATCAAATTCTGTACAGTATATTCTTAATTGTTTGTCCCATTTCGGGAAGAGGCTGATGATCTGGTTCGTCCAACCTTTCAGGCTGTTTCCATTGCACTGTGGCCAGGTAATCAGCTGCTTTTTCAGGGAACAAAGCTTCGGAGACGTAATGGCCCTGACCGTCTTTAAATTTAGTGTAAACTGGAACAAATTTATTCTTTTAACGTTTGATTCCTGACCATTTGTAACCCTGTCCATTCATTTCTTCCAGCAGTGATCAGTGATTGCATGAACCTCCGTTTGTCTTGGCGTATTTGTTTCTTGGAGTAACCCTTGCTCTTGCTGGCTTCGTTTCTTACACAGAAGATCCCACGCCGTCTCTGAAATGTACCGTTTCCTTTGTTGTAGCGGAATTGGTGTGAAACAACGCAACGCAGAATCCAAAAGTATATCAGCCCATGCAGCGAAAGGATCCTGTGAGGCCTGAACATCTTGAGAACGAACCTGATCAGAAATGAACTGGTTAAAATCTTGAACTTGTACTGTAACTCTGTCGGCTTGCGGAATCTGAGCTGTGTGCACAAATTTGTCTTTTTTCGTTTGGCCAGCTTCACAGTCGCTTCTGCAACTAGGAGTTTATGGTCACTACTTACTGCGTGGTGATCGCTTGTCTCGATATTTCGTTTGCAGTTTTTCCAACGTTGATATAAGGAGGTAGTCCAATTGCACAAAACGATCATCCGTGTAGGGTCCTTGAAAGTTTGGCGCAGCTACGTTACGTTGCTAAAGGTTACTAGTTTGGATGAATCTTGTTCAAACCACGTATTGCTAATGACGAAGCCATTTTCTAGACAGAAAGAGACGAACCTTTCGCGATTATCCCTTTGCCTGTCACTAAGTTGGTCAATACAGCTTGTTTCCTGCCTGAAAATGTGCATCCCAATTGCATCATGTTCATGAAGAAGTCTTTCCATAAGTCTTGCGTTGAAATCACCTAGGATAATAATATTGATCTCATGTTTAGGTAGCTGCGAACACGAATCTTCATTGAATTGATGAGCACTACCAGGTGCAATAGAGCCCCATCAAATGCTAGGTGAATTCCATGAGAGGATTACCCTACAGAAGCTCATACTACATTGGCCAAGTGCTGAGACCGGCATAAGCTCTACGGATTTGAAACTACGAGCTGAAGTTAACTCAAGTCCCTTTTTCAGTACAGGTCAAATTTCGATCTCTACGTTAAAAGGACTTCTCTCACACCTACCGTACATGTCATGAACATACCACTGCCGCTACCAGTCTTTGAGTTTAGGACCCAAGAAGGAAAGGAGTGCACAGCTGTTTGCAACATTGAATTCTACCACACAGCCCTGACCACAAACACTGGCCAAACTCATAAGTTCGTGAGGCATGTGTTTGCTTTGCTTGAAAGGTCGCAAGCTCAGAGTAATTGCAACTTGCCTGGCAACAGGCCCAAACAATGCTTCCAAATGAGACGCCACCAACGGCATGAGGATGTCTGCCTTGGCCAAAAGTAAAAGGATGCCCTAGTTAAAGAAAAGATACATGTGCCAGAAATGTGCAAAGAAGTGCTTGCCAATAGAAATCATAGACTACCCAGCTCCTTCGGTTCTCACCTTTATGGCATATGGTCCTCGCTGTCCTCGCTCCACACTCAGGATGGTGCAAAGTTTCTGCAAAGCTTGTGAAATTCCATCATTTTCGGAGAACCTGAGAATGAAAATTGAAAAATGATAAATCGAAATACGGAGTCTGATGGAAATGAGCAAACATACATAGCCGACTCTATCGACGTGCTGCACCAAGACTTGGCCTTGCCGAAGGTTCTGCGACGCCAAAACCGAACGCAGCAAGTTCACCGATGCCATGGAACACTCGTAACCTGAGACAATGAGGGCGTGAACTACAAAGAACTATCATGTGAATCACAAGCTGCCATTATTTAACAAAATCCATTTGTTTACCCTTTTTCGCTTTGACTCTCTTTTCTCAAACTGGAGAGCCAAAGGGCAATGAGTGACCACACTCACTCGTAAGCCATAGAGTGTGCATTGTCTGAGTTCATTGAAGACCTGCGGTGGCAAATTGACAAATCACGACGGGTACCCACAAGGTAAAAGGACCAGCCTTACACAGCAAAGTATGCGAGGAACCTAATAGCAAAACGAACCTAAGAGCGATGGCCTCCACCTTAGAAGCAATGGCCTCCAACCTGGCTAAGAGCGATGGCCTCCAACCTAGAAGCAAACCTAATATAACAACATAGTTGCACTATGTTGCATTCATGTGCCCGTGGATTTTTGCGACTGCTTCAGTGGGTGAGAAACAGAATGTGCACAACGCAAAGCACTCCTCGGCACGTACGAGGCTGTGGACAGCCCAACCCAGAAGCGTACCACGGCGAGAGAACTGGAGAAAGAGAGTGAGCAAAAAGTTGCCGCTGTTTTGTTAATGGTGGCGAACAAGAGATTGCTGGTGCCTGTGATGGCGCGATCAACCACCGTGCCACCAAGAAATGTGCTGGCGTGGGCCTTTTTTCCGACAGAGCTGGCGACACCTCTGATCCTGTGTATATATGTATATAATGGCCAGAATTTCAGGGAACGATAAAGTAGTTCGTGGCACAAGAGATCATCAAGCAGGACACTCAGCAGCACAACTTGTGGAAGTTAGCACAAAACAAATGGAAATGTCCATTCTTGCAATTTCTGAAAACTGCGAAGGTACAAAGCCCCGGAAATGGTTCGCACGAGGACCCGTCGAAAGCACACAAGTCATGTTTAAAAATTGCAAAGATGCCACAAGCGCACGGTTCAACCACGAAGGCAAACGAAAGGCACAGCAGCGACACAAAAACAGAGCAGCGACACTATATTCACACATGCCTTTGTACATTTGCATCCTTGCAAACAGCAAGCGTTGAATCCTCTGATACTTTATCACCGACCCATTTAATGAAAAATAGGGAACATGAAGGCGTTTGGCAAGAAACCCAAAAATTTTGATCATTGCGGGGCCTGGCACAACCGCGGAAAATATCAAGTCTCTTTGCAGTGTGGCACTACTTGTAGTAACCGCAAAAACATAAAGTTTGAGTGATGTCTTCAGTGTTGAGCCAACCTGCACAATGTCGTTGGCCAGCACAGCCAGGGGCCGATGTCGGGTCAACTCCAGGGCCTAGAATCGGGAAACCACCCGCGCGAAAACAAACTGCCCACTCCACCAACCCCAACCACAACCAACACACTCACCCCACGCACCAGCCACCATACGACATATATGAAGTGTTCACTTTGCAGAGAAAATCTTTTGTGTTTTGTACGTTCCTGTTGCCCTGTCCTCCGGATGAAGCCATCCAGTCTCTGGGGCGCTTCCTGCAACGGCTGACAGACAAAGTTTGCCCGAATGTAATCATGTCGCCGTGCAAAAATGCAAGGGTTAAAGATGCGCTTTATGGGGCTTACAAAAAGAAGACAAGGTGATTGGAGCCTGGCTCTCAAAACCACAACCAAACATTTTCACTCATGTGCTTCGTTTAGGTCCGATGGTGGGTCTAATGCTCTCAGAGCGATCCGTCCATCGCTCAGCAACGACCACAGCAAGTAGCCAGGCTTGAGCTTGACAGTGGTCCGGAAGCTGGTGGTGGGTGTCAATCCATTTGGACGCCTTGCTCAAGCGCCCACCATTGGGGTCAACTTCCGTGGCCGTCTCGGTCAAGCCCCCAACATCAATCCCCAAGCACTTCTCCTGCGTTGAACTCAATGGCCCACCCTTCACCAGGATGGCGTAGAGCAACCTGCAGTCGGTGACCGCTTCGTTCAAGCTACATGAAGCAGGTTGTAGTCTTTCACCAAGATCTCTGCCATGAACTCTCGGGCGAACAGGGCAGAATCGACGGCGGCGTCCATGGCCATAGCTTGACTGGCCAAAGTCAACTGAACCTGCCGCTCAAGCTCCCAGTCCACTATGCCACCGGCGAGGGGGACCTGTGACTTGAGCTCTGAGGCGTTTGCCCATGAGAAGTCGCTGAACGCAACCCAGCACGCTTGAATGGACACGATGGACCAAAAAGCACTTTGCAAGCAACCTTGCAAGGAACGCAGTTCCGTGAGTAGGGGAGCATTGGGAGTGGCTGAACGCCACCTGCTTAATAGTGTAGAGGCACCAGGATGCATCACCTTCGAATATAAGGCCTTTGCCGACTGTGTTTCATTGCAGCACATACGCGCCAGCGGCGGAGACAATGCATTTGTCGGCACAACCAAGCTGGCCCCGTACCTCTTCGACGCATGCATAAATCTAAGCAACGTAACACTCATGCAAGCTGTGATGGATGCGGATCAATCCACTTCTGAGCAGCACGCCACGCCGATCAAGTCCTCCACGTGGGCGCCGAGGACCTGTGCTGTAGCGGATGAAAACCGCCCGGTCGAGGTTCGACTGCGCGAAGCCCGTGTGAACCAGACTGTCTGGCCGCCGAAAACGCCTTGCCCGCTGAAAACTGCCTTGCTGCTCCCCGGGCTCGTGTAGCACTGCCTTGCAGACTGAGTCATCAACTTTGAAATGCCTGCTCAGAAGCTGCAGTTCTTCAGGTCTAGTCCCCAATGCCTCCATTTCTCCGTCAGTTTTGCACTCAAAGGTTCCTGCCACATTTCAAAGAGCCATTGGTTTGCGGAGGCTCCGCAGTCCAAGTAGCTGCATGTCCAAATCGCCGGCCAACTGCTTGTCGTCGGTGGTCTTGTTGGCTGTGTAGTGGAGGGTCCACCTCGCCTGCTTGCCAATGGGCCAATGGGCTTCTCCTGGCATCATTCCCAGCGCCAAGTGACTGCAGGCGTTCTGCAAAAACTCATTAAAAAGCCCCATCTCTTGTCGGCGGCCCAAACAGACTTTAACGACATTTGGTGCTTAAGACATCTTGTGCGTTCCTGGAAGGGAGTCAACTGAACACGTCGTAGCCGCCTGCAGGGTCAAGGATGCGCAGGCAGGCGCGCTTGCCCCCATTGATGTGATGGAAGACTACCACGTCCAGGCGTTGGTCGTGGTGGTAGTGGTCGCCGGGTGCGTTCACACGTAGCGCGCTTCAATCGCCTTGCATTCAAGACCAACGTTGCCACGTTGTAGAACGGATGAAATCTGGCGGGGATGACCAAAGTTTCGACGCATCCTGATCAATGCTGGGGCGCTCTGCTTTGAGGCGTGGGCCGGAGAACCGGCATTCTCCTGACGCAAAAAGTCCTGCCTCACCAAGCCTTCATGCGCCATGCCCTCGTCCACGATGACCATGCGCTTGCCATCAATCCCTTGGCATTGAAAGCCTGGTTGTACTCGTCTTCAGCCCACCATGGAACTTCACCAGCTCCATGCACGAACGCCCCCACTCCGCAGCTCACACCACTCTCCATGAGTCCAACAACAACAACAACAACAACCACAAACACAACCACAAACACAACCACAACCACAACCACAACCACAACCACAACCACCACAACAACAACAACAACAACAACAACAACGACAACGACAACAACAACCACCACAACAACAACAACCCCGTCACCCCCCGAAAACAACCAGCCAACAAGTATCTGCGGTAGTGGTAGTAGCACTAGTGCAATGGTACTAGTACTATAGTGCCTGCGGCGGTAGTTTAATACCAGTGGTAATAGCGCTGATGCTAGTGGTGGTAGCCCTAGCGCTAGTGGTCGTACTAGGGCTAGTGCTAGTAGCTTGCGGTAACAGTACCAGCGCTACTGCGAGTGGTAGTGGTGCTGGTGCTAGTGGTAATTGCCCCAGCGCCAAAGTTTGGTAGAAGCACAAGTGCTATTTTGAACACCCCCCTTGAAAGGTGTTGTTGTCTCTGCCCCCTCCTAAAGCGAAGACTGCGGCCGCGTTGTTGTTTTCTGGACCTCCCCCCTCCAGAACAACACCTCAAAAACACCAAAACCGGACCAGCCCAGACTTCAGTGAAACAAGTCCAACAAAACCAGCTACTTGCGAAACCAACATTCCCTCAAACCATCAACCGCATCCCTAACCTTGTCCCTTGAAGTTCCAGAGTTACAACATGTGACAACTATGTTGGGAGGCTGCTTGTGTTGCTACCAACAACAAGAAGAAGAAGAAGTAGTAGTAACAGACTCCTACCTGGAGACCCCTACAAAGCAGCAACATAAACTGGTCGCAGCAATGAATGCATGGACCGGTCTCCGTTGCGAAGCGACGCGAGTACTCCTACACTTGTGCCTGCCATTGCCGTGGAAGGAATCCAATCATATCGACCCAGCTCAGAGTGAAAGTTCAGCACAGCAGCATCGAGCATGTCCCGACAGTGCTGCTGCATTCGCGCCTCAAAAGAGTGAAGCACATAACAGCACGGAACCACAGCTGACCTCTGGGTTGTTCAGCATAAGAAGTGGAGATACCGTTGCTGAATGTTGAGCTCAGTTTGGCTGCGCAAACTGTATTAGCAATTGTAGTCCTGTAACGCAGTCAAAGGAAAGGCGCAAGTTGTAGTCTTCAATGTTGGAGCCAGCCTCAAATATACTCGATACGGCTGCAAAGAAGTGGCCACCTGCACAAGAAAAGTAGACAGTTCTAGGTCCTGCGCTTACCAGAAGCAGATTGAAGAGAGTCTTTTGCCTAGAACCACAGGTGGCTGCTTGCCCACTGACTCTTGTACACTCCCTGAAAGTTTACGGCTTCTTAAAAGAAAGAGAATGAAGAATTCAAGAGTTGCATGCGAAATGAGAGATCCAAGTGAGGAATTGCTTGCTCGGCATTTCTTGAACAGCTTTGTCAGGGCACAACAGTCCAAGCACGCTGACGCCAACTATTGTGCGTAAATCTGCCTCGCTCCGGACAGCCCTAGCCTAAGCGCTTCAGGGTAGATGAAGCATGGACACACTGCCGCAACACAGTGGTCAATTGCGCTGCATCGATCTTGGCCTCAAGAATGGAGGCAAAGGCCAGTGACAATGGCTGGTTGAAAGGTCCCAATGATAAGTTGTTGAAAGGTATATAAACCCAGAACGCGGTTGAAAACACGCGCATGCTCGAAAATCAGTGCTTTTGCATGGAAGGCTGTGCAGTATATGTGTATGTATCTTTTAAATACATAAACAAATAAATAAATAAATACATACATACATACATAAAATATGTATATATTGTACATAGAAATGCCTTTTGTCGAGACTACAAAACTGTGAGAAACGTGTCTTCCTTTGTGACCCGCGACAAACAACCTGCTATCTTAAAAACATGGCTATTGCATTCAAGGTGCAGAAGTCGAGCTTGGTGGTAAAACATGATGACGCAACAATGAAACCAACCACCTCGGCGGGGCTTTGTTCCAAATAGTTGTCAAGAAAGCAGGAATTGTTTCGAACATCAATGGCTTCACCTTTTCTTGAAGGGACTTGAACTGGACAAGCACCTACGACTATCTATATACTGTAGCGGGTTCTCCTGCAAGTGAGCAGTGAGCAGTATCTTTTATCTTGAACACAACACGCTGCCACAACAGGGTAAATCCGTGACGCATCACACGCAGACAAGACGCATGACTTGACTGTTTAGCCAAGCACCCAATGGACCATCGTCTTGGGGGAACAATGCCTTAGTTGGCAAAGCATTGAAATGCCCGTTCCTTGGGCGCACGGACTGTGATGCGATGCTCAATCAAAAGTTTTACTGGTCTACAAATTCACCTGGCGCAAACGGGCACACAAATCACTGAGGAAGAGTATATACATATAGGCATATTCTTGCCAGGCTTTGTTGCATACAAACTTGATCAGCGACTTTCAGAGGCCCTCAGTATGTCCATTGCAGGATTCGGTGTTCCACGCTTCTTTCACAGCACATTAAGAGATGTGTGTGACATACTGCAAGTGCCCAGTCCCGCCTTGTATTGGGTGCCAATGTCATAGACATGCCTTCCAACATCGTGTTCTAGTCTTCTTTGAAATGAAAAGCCGTTGCGGTACTTTGTTTCACTCTGGACTTCTAGTGTGGCCGAAGCAAATGCTAACAGCAATGAGCAGAATGACAATGATGCCCTGTAGTGCATCAACTGCTTTGGAGACACGTCCGCAACAAGTCTGCAGCATTCCGCAAGGCGGTACCAACCTTGGCATTGTGAAATCTGACATGACGGAAGGCGAGCCCCGCTGCGGAGCAAAGCGCCGAAATGCGATGCACGGACTCGGACAGGAGTTCCAACCCATCATGTTATAGGAGATTCAGAGTGAGTCTTTGGGGTCGGTGTTGTATTTTCTGAAAGTTGGGTAGTGCAACGCTGCGCCAATGCTGTGTTCCATCAACAGTACTCCGGCGCACTATCTATTTGCGCTTGTAAGCTGTAGCCACTAGGCTGTGTTATTAAAAGGCATGATCGAAGGGCCAGCATCACCGTCGACATCCCAAGCAGGCGAATTCCTATTTGTCCATAAATTGGTTGAACGGGCTGGTCCCCGTTTGTGGCGCGACCTTGAATCTCACAGGACCTCATTTATTACAGATGCACAGCAGGGAGTGGCTCAACCGCGGGTGGCCACTCCTGTCAGTCATCGATGTTGCTAACCCATTGGGCAATTCACCTAACTGGACGTCGGAAGTGTGACATCGTGAGCCCACCGATCATCAATCAGAAACAGAGTCGCTAGGTCAAATGAAAACATGCGTAGATATGTAAAGTATAATGAAACATGGGGCCAAGATCCCTTTCAAGCAATTGAGAGCCTCGGCTGGGTTGCCAGGCACTGCCTCTGCTGTGCCTCAATAGTTCTACCTGCTGCTTGTGGCTCTCCAGGAACTTGCTCCGGTACCTCGGTCACGGGCGCCGTGGATGTCCTGTCTTGAAAAATGTAGCTATCAAATATGTCTGAGAAGTTGAGACAAAATCACGATGAAACATGCTGGCTTCAAAGTTCCCACAGCTCACCACGCGCAAAGCCGGCTATTGCAGGTGGACAACTGACTTTGGACAGTTGCTGGACGCGCTTTATGTTGATCTTCCACGACCGGGCCAAATGAGCTTTGATTTCCAATGGTTAAAGGAACATCTGGAAGAGCCAATCTGGAGGGAACTCTGCACAATCCCTTATCGATGGGCCCATCCAGTAGACATACGGGTGGCTCAATGGGAACTGAGGAAGGCTACTCTGCCTCCTCACCTTTCATTGTCTTTGGTTTCCTGAAAGGGGAGAGGTCCATCATTGCTTTGGGTTACTCTCTTGGAGACAAACGGGGAAGTACAAAACCTGATACCAATTTTCGCCGACCATGTTAATGAAGGAAAAAAACTAAGAATCTATGCAAACATAGCACTGTACAGAATTTGTTAGATTTGATGCTGCTGTACTACTTCCATGTTTATGTAGTCCGGGAGGGGGGGGGTCCAACCCAGGGACTTCCATGTTTATGGTGACAAGAGCATGTTAAAGTTTTTGCAAGTTCCATGTTTACGGACACAAGGAGTCTCAAAGAGTCAAAATCAAGAATGTATGTCAAGATGTGAGTTATTTTCAAATTTTCTGGATGTGCAAGTGTTGATAACACTTCCATGAATGTGGCCTGGCCGGACAACGCTCGCTCTTCAGCCTCCCTCATGCAGCAGGAAACAGTGAGACGAGGCAGGTGACAAGGTTTACATCCACGATTATGATTAAAGAGATGTGTTTGTCTGACTGTGTGTTTGGTGTTGAAAGAAGCTTTGATTCCACGAATCGCTGCCATGGCTGCCATGGAGCAGTCCGAGGAGCAGCCCCCCATGACCCCAGAAGGAAGGGCATCGCCAGCGGGATCAGTCTCTTCAGTTGCATTTTTTAGAGTGTTGCATTTGAGTGACTCTGTCATAGATCTTGATTCTCAACAAGCACAGAGAGTAGGGAATCATAGAGGGGGCGATGATGACTTCCATGATAGTTGAAGAAAGCAGTGGCTCAGGTTCTGGCGTCCAAAAGGATGAGAGGCAAAACTCCGCCAGAGCTTTTCGATTCTTGGACTTATGTACTTTAATGTGGGCGCATCTATCTGAAAGTCAAAGTGTACAGTTCCAGGTTAGCACAAATGACTTGCCTTCTGTTGCCAGGAAAAGCAGGGAGGGCCTCAGAAGACTGGGGTTGCCGCTCTTCCTAATGGGCAACCCTACATCTCTGGATGGCCATCTCTACGCGGTCCATTGAGTTTGAAGCACGTTCCACTCCAAACACTGGACGAAGCGGCAGCGGAATGGTGTGACAAGGCTTGAGATGCTGACTGTCTCAGCAGTTTGCAAAAACATGGAAATGCAACGGGTTGTTTTCCTGCACTGTAGAAAATAATTTTGTTATTTCAACAAATTTGTTGCTGGAAAGGCAATTGATCGAGCAACGCGCTTTGCAAAAGCACTTCCTGGAAAGCCAATCCTTGGGAGTGGACGACACCTCCGCTGCACCTCTTCCTTCTCTGGGACGCTGGCTGGCATTACTGTACAACCCAATGGACCTATCAGCCAACCCCTTTCCCTAGAAACATGGAAGTTGGCATGTAGAGGAAGCACGATTGTGACGAGTACTGTATGTTCTATAGTTGCTGGCTAAGGATCGATGCATGCGCAAGAGCTGCTGACATTATCCAACAGAAAGGAGGTGGAGTCACATTCGAGAAGGCTCTTGGTTGGAAACACGGTGTTGTTGTTAACTATAAACTATATAGTTTAAACATTGCTTGATAGCACTTCCATGTTTGAGCAGAGTTTGTTTTTTGGGGGGGTGAGTCTCTCACCCGTCCTCCTCAGATTTACGCTTGCGACAATGACCAGAACGTTCAATTTGGCCTTCTGCGCGACCCCCTCTTTGCAAACCATGGATGCTGTGTTTTTGCAAACGTGACCCCTCCATGTTTCTGCTGCGTGTCAACTTACTGTAACAAGGAAGTAGGCCATGAATTCACTTTGACAGGGATCATTTCAGAAGAAACAACCCGAAGACAAGCAAGCAAAACAGACGGTCTCAACCTCACCAGCAGTGTAGTGTACTTTGTTTAGAGCGAAAGCATTTGTTTCAAGGTACTGGATCTGCTGGATGTGGATTCACGGAGAGAAGTCAATCGTGCAACAGGCCTTCTGTCAGTGCAAAGCCATAAACATGGAAGTGATCTCCTAGATTCTAGATTTCATGCTTCTGCACATTTCTTCTGCGCAGGAGTTGAGGACATTCTCAAGGTCTTGGACGGTGCCAAATTCCTGAATCGCATGAGATGCCTCCGGCACACAGAGCAAGCCATGTTTGGATCAGGATGTCGGCTTCCTTGTGCGGTCGATTTAGATGCTTGCTAGCTATTGCCTTTTAACCTTTTTGTAGTTATTTGCACAAATGGGGAAGTAGAGCATGCCCAATGTTAGTGCAAGTCAATTGCGGTAGAGGTCATGCTCCTATGGGCCTAATTATGCCATTCTTGGTCACTGTGTGCACACTGTATATGTACATAAATACTGTCTACAATACATATATATATATTTACATGGAAGTGGGTGAATGTACACCTAAGGACATGAGTGCCTGTTCATGCCGCGATGACAGCATGATGGGGCAAAGGAAGGAGAACAATGGCGAGGGCAGGAGATCAGCTTTGGCGTACATGAGGCCATGCCATAGCACGTGTGTAGAAATGATGTGCTCATTGGTTCATTCATTCCTGCTGCAGGTACCATTTGCAGGCCAAAACCAAGATCCTTATCATGGAAAATGTGATTACCACGTCGGAGAATTCGATCCAGCGTTTGACAAGTGATGTGTTGACAGAATCAGGCGAGATGGATTTAAAGGTTCTCCACGGAGCCACAGAAGACTCTGGGTATGGCGCCGCCAGGCGCTACCGTGGCTGGAAGCTGGTCCAGAATTGCAGGTTGCATGTGTTGATTGCGCTTTATCCTGTTGTTTTGGGAAAAGCTGTCACTCAAAAGTGGAAGTTGACTACAGCAAAATCCATGTAAACGTAAGACGTAAGACTCAACAGCGCTGTAAGGATCATAGCTGTGCGGAGGGACTGCGGACGGTTTCTATGTGACCCTGACTCAATCTACACGCGGATGAGATCACTTCTGCAGTTGAAGCAAACTTCGATACCAGCTCTCTTCTGGTGTGAGGATGAGGGGATGCATCCTGCCTTCATTGATTACTGTAAACCAGAACACCAGCCAAACAATCTGCAATGTGCGTGTGTCATACAAGGAAGTATAGTATACCGTATACTGTAATCACTGTCCTTTACTGAACTCGTACTGCATACTTACTGTATCTTACTGTAGCATATACTCCGTTTCCAGGCTTCTGGACGAGCGGAGGAATTGCGCAACCCGCACCCGACCTGTCGCAGATTTTGAGACCTTCGGCAATTTTTGGTACCGTATGTTCTGCTGTGGCCTTTCCACCTGTACTTGTTTTTTTGTCTTTATTGATGTCAGGAAAATGTTGACAAGCGGGGACAAAGAGCGTCTTGCTGCCGCCTGGAAAAAGCTGGATGAAGATTCTTGACCTTAAGTACTGTAACAAACAAGGAAGTAAAACATGGTTTGCTATGTTTACTGTAGGTGTCAAGGCCTGTACAGTCTGTGTGCGTTTGGGTTCTTGGACAGGATCGGGTTAGCCAAGGATCCAGAGCTGAACACACTTACTGATCTTCACTGCGCAGTTCCACAGCAAGGCTCCAAAATGATGAAAACGACAACAAAGGGGAGGACTGCTTGGTGTCCAGCATCCCAGCATCCCTCTTCTGCGCTTCACAACATGAAATGTAAACAATCATGTATAAAACAGTATTCATTTCCAAGTTTCAGGAGCCTTCCGACATTTACCACTGTGGATCACATTTGGAGCAGAAGCAGGAACAGGTGGATGAGCGGTGTTGAGAAGCTACAAGCGTTAGGCTTCCCGATGACCGACAGTGTGGCCAGCACCTATGGTGTAGTTCCTTAATTGCATTTATATATACATGGAAGTGTGTCAACTTGGAAGCCTGTGAGCACAAGCAAACCTCTGCGGCTTGATAGCAAAAGTTGTTTGTTGCACCCCATTCCAGGCCAAGATTGATCCAAATCATTGGCCCAATCTACACCACAGAGTTGGCAATACTCAACACTTGCCACAAGCTGCCTCTTGGCTTGGTTACTGTACCGTATAGAAGCTGGGGAAACAGGAAGACAAACGTGGAAGTGGATTCATCTTTGTTCTCATTTGTTGTAGACACAATTTTAACCTCTTGAAAATTAAATCTTCAAGATGTCTGTTGGTGGATCTAATCTCAAAGCCTGATAATATAAAAAAAACCTACAGTATAGACTATAGATGGAAAATACACGTGAAGAAGCACTTACTGTACCAGTTTCCATGATAATGGAATGTGCTGGAGACACTAAGGCCATGGTCATTCTCTCAGCGCTGGCAAGCATTGAACTTCACGAGACATCCTCCCGTCCTGAGCTGCCACAGCACACCACATTGGTAAAAGTTCCCTGCGACGGTCTATGCTTTTACTACTGCTTGTGGTTGGCGTTGCAAGCCACCCCTGCACAATTGTTTTCTTGGACCCTGCGGACTCGAAATGCTTGTGGAATTCCTGCGCAGGGCGAGTACCAGGAAGAAAAGCAAAATGCCCTTCTGTGGGCATTGGACCTCCAAAGGATGGCTAATCGATGCATGCCAAGGGCGATGCGTCGCAGGATCTCCGAATGTCAGTGTGCAGAGCAAGCAGATCTTGCCCCTTGTCAGTATGGTTTGCGTGGCTGACCATAGGTAGAATGTAATCATAGAAGTGGACCTGTAGAGTTCCTGCGCAACTATCATAT